TTGTTTCCAGGACATGAGCTGCTCTTGTGTGAATAGCCCAGGCCTGCTAACAATGTAGATGAGCCAAACTCGAGATTTGGCCAGTTTCTCATCCCTGATGTAAATTGAACATTGTTTTTTCAGGCAAATAAGGGCCATCATTGATCATCTAACCAACAGATTCCAGATTTGCAACGTAGCTGCCTTCTGGCATCCTCAAACAAAGACATAAAATGCTTACATCTGGTGCAGTCATTTTGCTTTTGCCAACCAGTGGGTGTGCCTGACCACGTGTACCCCAATGTTTTGCCGACTTCAAAGAAGTGTTACCTAACGCGCGGGTGGTCTATAGCCTACAGGAGTAACAGCACTACTAATTTAATGCATATTATAGCCTCAGCTCTATTTGCTAGCTATTCTACTAATAATTACAACTAATTATTTGTCTTACACTGAGCATTAGTATGGCAGAACAAAGCGGTCAAAAAGAGCACCAGAACACTGAGCGATCCCATTATCACAGCAAAAACGCAAAACAAAAAGGGCGTTAACCAAGACTATCAAGTTTGAAACGTGAGCCTGCAGTTATGAATAATAACTCCATTATCAGTTATGACGACAAAACCTTGCAAAACAAAGAAGGGCGTCAACAGTAGACTGAGCAGGTCACTGAGGTCAGTTCCAATCACGTGATTGAGTTCTGTTACTATAAATAAAATTAAATGATAATAGAAAATAATAATTCTATGCTATAAAAATAACACTAAAATAAATGTAAAATCATTATAAAATTGGAATCTAAACTATAATGATATTTCGATGTACTATCTACACAAAGCAGCTTGTTAAAACTGAGCGAAACTGAGGGGGCTAGTTTTATATCTCTGTGGTGGGTTGCTCTTCTTCGTTCTCTTGCAGTGTAGAATTTTCTTGCCGCACAGGCTCTTCCTCTTGAGGTATTTCTTCTTGTGGAGCAGCAGCAGCTGTAGGAACCTCTTGTACTTCAGGACTACTAACTCCTTCTGGAGGAACATCTTGTGTAGGAGATACTTCATCATCTTGTGGAGGAGGTACTTCATCATCTTGTGAAGGAGGTACTTCATCATCTTGTGTAGGAGATACATGTACTTCATTGTCTTGTGGAGAAGCTTCATCTTGTGGAGGAGATACTTCATCTTCTTGTGGAGAAGCTTCGTCTTGTGGAGGAGGTACTTCATCTTGAGGAGGTACGCCATTATCTCCTGGACGAGGTACTTCATCATCTTGTGAAGGAGGTACATGTAATTCATCATCTTGTGGAGAAGCTTCATCTTGTGGAGGTGGAGGTACTTCGTCTTGAGGAGGTACTTCATTATCTTCTGAAGGAGATACTTCATTATCTTCTGGAGGAGATACTTCGTCTTGTGAAGGAAGAGGAGATGCTTCATGTTGAGAAGGTACTTCTAGAGGAGGTAATTCATTTTCTTCTGGACGAGGTAGTTCATTATCTTCTGGACGAGGTAATTCATCTTCATCTTGCGGAGGGGGACTTTCTTCTTTTGGAGGAGGAATTTCTTGTATTTCTTCTTCTTGTAGAGGAGGAGGAGGGCTTTCTTCTTGTGGAGGAGGAGGAGGACTTTCTTCTTGTAGAACTTCTTCTTTTACAGCAACAGTAATTTCTTCTTCAGGAGGAGATCTTGGAGTAGGTACTTCTTCAATTGGAGGAGGTAGTTCTTCTTGTGGAGCTGGACTTTCATCATTAAAAGCACCAGATGTTTTGTGAAGTTCATATGGTTCACATACTTGCATTGTAATATCATCCTCAGGTCTATAGTATTAATATGTGTCATTTATTAAGCTCAATTTATATACTCACTTTTGTTTGGTGACTTTCTGTGTTGGAGGGTTTTTCTTTTGAGCCGGAAGTCTTTCCTTTTGCCCACCTGAAGGTGGAGGATGTGTTCCTGATAATGGATTACTTTTTCTAGCATTTGATAAGCCAGCACCAGCTTCAATGGCTGCTGGAGTTTGTTGAAGTCCTGTCCTCCTTGTACTTCCTCCTATTAAAGCTCCAACTCCAACACCCAAGCAGCAACATACACACAATGGTACTGTTATTATGAGGATACAGCATACAATGAAAACTGCAACTACTCCTCCAATGATGGCAGCAAGGTCATTGATGGCTATGATACATAGAATACTTCAAACAATAGACATTATCTATAGTTTCTTACTTGAAGCAATATCATCAGCATATCTGCAAGTCTCCAGGGTATTACTGGGGACTGGATGGTCAGAATTAAACTCTTTAAAAAGCACAAAAATAATTAAAGAATTGATTACATTTCTAAATGTACATGTAATTTGACACTGTAATTATAAAGTATCAACTTACGACAGCCTAATGATATGTCTTGACTGTGTGAGCACTGTGATGGTTGATTCTCAGCTTTAGGGCAGTGAGCACAATAGGCAAGACAGCTCTCTGAATCAGTACTGCAGTCAATGTTACTTAACCAGATAGCCTGAGTGTCAGAACCACCACTGTATAAAGGAATAAAAAACAATAATTGCATTTTAGACTATCACATTAACTGACAGATCATCAGTGCTGGTATATGCATAAGAATCACTGTATCCTAACTGACGGCAGGCAACTCTAGCATCAGTTGAGCCAAAGCTATCATCACATACTGTACCCCACTGTCCATTACAATATACTTCCAGTCTACCATAACTAGAATTAGTTCCATTTTGCAAACGGATCTGTCCAGAATAAGGAGCATCCCAGATTCTAGTAGTATCTGTGAATATAAGTATTAGCTGGTTACCAGTTTGATAGCACTTACAGCAGACGACAAAGGCATCATTAGAGTCACCACATGTATTTGAGATTGTAGTATCAAAGCTACACTGTTGGAGTGTTAAAAAATCATCATCAGAACAGGTAACATCATCAATAATTGTGTGAAGGGAATCAGTTCCATACCTGTATGGAAAGGATCAATACTTCATGACAAGTTGATGCATGTGTTAACTAAGCTACATTGCTGTGCTTCCTGCTTTGCCAAAAGTTGAAGCTCCGTCATACCCCAGCTGGTTACAAATGACGTCAGCTTCGTTGTGACCAAATGAATTGTCCTCACAGATATTACCCCATGTGTTTGTACCAGTGGAATGACCATAGTATATCTGGACTATTCCAGCAGTTAGTGTTGATGAGGTGGTGCCATTGGTGTACAGTCTAACTGTTCCAAGTCCTATAGCAAATGTGACATGAACATGATACAGGCTTATATCCTTCTCATAAGGGAGGCATAGTAAACTGCAGCAGTTATAACAAGGTAGTAGTTACAATACAAAGGTGCTTAAGATGCATGCAATATTAAGCTCATGTTTGTACACTTTAAGCTCTTACCTTCAGCATTAGCAAAGTATATCAGTGTCAAGAAGGAGGCCAGAACACTTAGCAAACTCATCTTCATGAGCATAACAAACC